ATGTGGTGTTGTCTAATGTTCTGCGGTCACTAATAAAGACCAACCTGTACAGGGCCCGCGTTAAGCGGGGCCTTAAGCAGGTGATAATAAATGTATAACTAATTGTGTTAAGCATTAAATAACGCAAGCAAACGATTTTAGAATTTCTACATTTTCTACCTTAAAAGATAATTTACTGAGTCGAATATCAATTTCCTAGTTAACAGGCCCACGTGAATACCGTAAAATTAATTGCAGGCGTCGCTGAGCTCGGAATCAATTAACACAAACTTCCTAATAACGGGCTGCTTGAGTAAAAGTAATGTAACCCATAAATAATGGCTTTCGATCTATGATACTTACATTTAAAAAAATGTATTATTTACCACGCTCCTTGGTTTAGCTATCTAAGTTTCTCTGGGAAATAAGGCATCGTACAAAGAGACAGTGAGTATAAGTTGTCAAAGTGAAAAACTAGAGCAATTTTGGATGTTGCTGAATTTTTATGCATGATATTTCTAATGTCACTTACCAAATGAACCTCAACAATGACTATTAGTTTTAAAAGTGGATATTCCGATCTCATTAGTTTTAAAACGTATTTTAAAATTTAGATTATGCACCTTTATTTAAAATTTTTAAACGTCATTCTTAAACAATCATCTGGTATACATATAAATTTGTACACGTATTTCTACAATACCTACGACAGATTATACAATCCTGTAAAATTTTTCCAATCAATTATAAACGTGACGGTAGGGATTAAAATCCATTGTAGAAATTTGGTATATAGTGGTGACCTGACGTGTGTACATGAAGAATTATATATTTGTATTCGGACCCCATCATTTGCTGATTGGAACAATAATGTTCATTGATTTGCTGATTAGAAGAATAATGTTCATCACATTGTTTTATTTCTAGGTCTTTCAATTTTAATAACGTTTGAAACAATACGAAACATTTTGATTTATGAGTTACACTTGTATTCTTACTAGAGGTATGAAAACGAGTGTAACTCATAAATCAAAAGTAGAGGTTAAAATCCATTGCAGAAATTTGGCATATAGTGGTGACCTCACGTGTATACATGAAGAATTATATATTTGTAATCGGACCCCATCATTTGCTGATTGGAAGAATAATGTTCATGACATTGTTTTATTTCTGGATCTTTCAATTTTAATAACGTTTGAAATAATATGAAAAACTTTGATTTATGAGTTACACTCATTTTCATACTAGTGTTGTTTAATTCCAGCCAAATAGTTTTAATTAAACTTCTTTAGACAACTGTCCGTAGCTGTTGCTACTGTATGTGTACGTTTGTTTAAATTTTCGTCATGACTAGTTAGTAGGTATTCTACTAACCTATGGTTAATTGTGCATGATTGGAGAATGGCCAGAAATTTCTTTGATATTACTGTTCTAATTAGACATACGGTATTATATTATATGCAATCCTCACCTGTTGTTTAATTGAATTTAAACATTTGGTTTTTATTAAATAATAGATGATGAGAGAGATGAGAGGAGAATAGTTCAATGACGTAGTAGATAAGAACCGCGATTGGTGTTGTTACGAAACTCCCGCAAGGATCGGTAACGCAATGGAAATATTATCTCGAGCTATTCCGTGCAACAAAATGTACGTCCGTTGGTCCCGGCTGCATTTGCAGTCGTAAATATCCTCCAAACCGCATTAGGCCATTGCCCATCCCCCTTAACCACCCATAAGAAAAGCCTGAGTCCCTGTAGTGGGGACATAAAAGGGCTGGTGTTAATGATGATGAAAATAAGGTATATGAAAATTCCCTATCTAATAATATAAGGTTAAATTTTCAAAAGTGTGGTACGTCCATGGCTACGTAGGCTTTCAGTGGAACGCTTTTTTGTTCACTATTTCTGCTCGCTCAATCATGGTTCAGTTTTGAAATGGCGACCTTTCGAACACCTGCCAATATTCAATGTATAAGAGGCATTGCCCCAGCGATTACTAGAATTAACCTACTTTTAATAAATTTCTATTATAATACGATAATATCCTTCCCATGATTCTAAAAACTATGTCGTTTTTCACTGCAATAGTTTATCTATTTCCTTTCTGCGCAAAAAATTATCAAAATTTAAAATTGCATTATGATTGTAGTACCGAGACAAATAATTGAAAAATAAAAAAACAAGATCTAAAAAGTCATTTAACTTAAAAATAAAAGTTTTAATAAAGTCGGACTTATAACACATAAAATGATATTCTTTAGAAGTTTATTTTTAATATTTAACTTATTTATTCACCAAATACGGATGATGATGATGATTCAAATTACTTTGGCTTTAAGGCGCCTTTGAACCGAAAACTACGTCATTGTGTTATTCATTTCGTTAGATGTTAATATTTGAACGAAAAATCCACTCACTATCATTTACTTCACACTGCGATTGCTCTAACCACTGAGCTACCCAGGACCTCACAGGACTGACGTTACATATTTGCTATTACAGTTTTTCATCAACATTCAGGCAATCCACTCAAACAGCCGAATGAAATATTTTTACAAATATTTAAACTTTCGAATACGAATACGCTCTGTAATAACGAAAAAGTATCAAGTGTTTGAATATGCTATAACAAACAAACATACAATCAAATCTTTCCTCTTTATAATATTAGTATAGATATAGAAATATTTTACCCACAAATAAAAAACTTTGAATTTACAGACCCTCTACAACCGCCATTTTACTTAAACATATTAAGTTCCATTACTTCTGCAGTTAATTTTAAACTGTCAGTGGGCACATTAAGGTTTAATATCAATGGAAAATATCCCAATATTTACATGTAGTATAAATAACCGACGTCAAACCAACCCATGAGGACTACTATGTACCTACTGCAAAGGGTTTAGCCACAAGGCATTAAAAATGTCAATAGCAGGCGTTGTTTCGGTGATATGTGTGACAATTTAACTCTCACTATAAAAGATTTCTTCCTTGTTTAGATTATATATTTTTATTCTTATTTATAATCATTAGAAGTATAACAGTGTTAATTAAAAAAACATATGAAAAACATTTTTTTTTATTTATTAAAAAATAATTATATATTGCTTGTTTATATATCATCTGCCACATAATACTGTCGGAACCAGGTATCATAACTATAATGGTATGCTAAAAAAAACAATAAATAAATAAATATTAGACAACATCACATACACTGCTCAGATTCCAAGATGAGTAAGTTAAAGCCCCGTATCGTAGAGTATCTGAGACAACGAAGGTAACACAATACCCAGACCTGAGATAATATATTATGGAAATGTTAATTTTCTACATTGACCCGACCGAATCGAACCCGGGACGTCAGACGTGGTGACACCTTGAAAGCGGCATGCGAACCACTCGGCTACTAAGAAATCTAGGACTATAATTTTATACCGCAACAAATTTATACGCAGGTGGTTTACTATCATACTAGGGATCTTTAATAATAATGGTTTTTGTTCAAGTTTTTGAGATATAAACTGAACTAAACCCATATCTTGCACTTGTGAATGTCGAAAAACTATGCCATTGGTTTGTTAATCTACGGCAGGAGACGTTTTCAGCTATAAGAGATAACATTTTACTACTTACCTACACCATTTTGTTGTGCCATTAACAATTGTGAGATGTGCACGAGTCATAAATTTAAAAAGTGTATATATCGTCTTAAATGATTGTGTTAAAAGGTCGAAAATTACATCAAACAAATACAACGTATTTTTTAAGTAATATCTACAAATTGGTCAAAGATAGGAAGAACATTCGACTAACAATTATGCGTATTTTGTAGAAAGTGCTTTATGTCATTATTTAGGATTTATGTCTCTCTTCTAGAAAGAAAATTAGTATTTCATACTCGTACGTATGTTTGTACCCATTTTTGTAGAATCACTTACATTTGTATTCCGACAATGGTTGCATTTCAAAGCACTTCCCCATATAAGCAGGTTGCCACGCTGCAAGGACAAATATCTTTTAAATACTAGTATATCTCATAATTACGCAATCCTTCTTTGTTTGTATGATACAAACATATTGTCAAAATGTGGTATCTGATGAAATACATATTTCATTTTATCGTAAAAAGAAAACTACTGAATCGATATCTGTAAAATTTACATAGGAACATCTCGGCCCATGAAGCTGTCGAATAAAAAAGAATTTTGAAAATCAGTCAACAATTCGCGGAGTATCGATAAACATACTTAAAAAACATACATCGTCGTCGAACACATAACCTCCTTCATCTCGATTTTGTCGGTTAAAAGATAGATTGATACTCAGGCTGTACTGTAACTCCATTTTTTTTGGTGTCCGAAAGTGGTAGTTTAAGCGTGACTATTGAGAGTCTCACCAAATATAAAACAATCTAGCGATCAAGTCAATGAAAAGTTTCACTTGTCCCCACCTTCTGATCTCTCCATACAGTTAACAAAATCCAGCATACAATAATTTTTGAAAGTATAAAAAGTTATGAACAAAGATCGTCCACAAACATGCCCTGTGCTGAAATAAAATTTAATAATATAATGTATATTACCAACGTGCTAATCTTATTGATATAATTTCTAAGATTCAGGTCATTTTCAGTCATCATTTTTTATGGAATAGATGTCTTCAATTACATAAATCTATTTCTATTTCATGGTTCAAGGTCCGTCTGTATGAAGGTTAACTTCACGGTCTCATAAGGTGAGACGGACGGGCCCACCACATGGTCCTATTGTCGACTATTAACAATGATACATACGTGAATCCCTTAAGGCAGTAATAGGCATTATAATCACAATCTATTATCATTGAAATACGATATGGTGTTGTGCGCTTAAACCGTCTCCTTGAATTTGTACTTTGAGTTGTAAACCTAAAAACAAATTATTTTTATGACTATGCTTTCGTTTAAATAGAAAAGCTTTCGCTTCCCTTCAAAATGCGTAGTGAATTGTGAATGAGCTGGAGCTAAAAAATGATTACCTCATAGTTGGCCTATTTGCCAGGCCCGGTGGCCCTGCATTGCCTAAAACCAATTCCTCGCCACTTTTGAGTTCTCCCCCTCCTTCTGTTTCTTTTTGTTCTCCTTCTCCTTCCGCTGAAGGTGCTGGTCCTCCTACCTCTTCTGCCAGAGGTGCTACTACTCCTAACCCTTCTGTAAGAGGTGCTTCTCCTCCTTTTTCTTCTATCCCTTCTGCTGGCGCTGCTTCTCCTTCTCTTGCTATATTATATAGGCCTTTATGAGCAAATACTCGCTTTGTAGTATAATAAATTTTAGCCGTTAGAGCGGTCTTCCATCGCTTGAAAATATGATCTATATTTCTTGTATTATATTTTTCCGGCAAGCCATAATACTGATGAAAGTTTTGCTGATACTGTTCAAAGTATTCCTTTTGAAATACTTGGCTCATGGGAGTAGAATCAGACTTATGTACCAGGGCCCTATATTCGTCCAAAAGACTTTGAAAACTACTGTCGCTTAAATCAGGAGTAGTATAATAATTGTTGCGTCTTATATTTTCGTATAGGAAGCTAGTGTTAAATTTTCCATGTCCGCTGGTAGGGGACAACATTTTCGTGAAGTCTTTAATGTGTAGGTGCTTCGTTAAATCCTTCATTAGGTGTGCAGACGTTTCATTAAAACTTTGCTCAGTGAGGGGCACCAATATTACTGCGTCAATAATTAAAAATATAAACTTTTGATTTTCATTAGCTAGATAATTATAAATGACTATAAAATGCTTACCGAATAAAAAAACGAGTATTTTTTCTTGGTCGACATTCATAACAAATATTTTACTAATAATTAGATTATACGGACCAGTTTTTATGACATATTTTTCGTATAGTACATTTATCAATATATGACTGAAATCCTATAAATATCTCGTTGCAAGGCAAGCGAGAATCGTTAAAATTTAATGGAAAATGAAGTTAAGTCCGTAATCAATTTTGTTCAGATAAACATTATTTACACAATGTTCTGTCTTCCAATTCTTGACCATTTACAAATGTTCATGAGCCTTAGACAGCTAAAAACATGCACTCTATTTATGCAATATGGGTTATAACATAATTTAATGTCATCCAAATGCTTAGTTTAAAAAATATAGGACTGTCGAATTTATTACTAATTTATTACGAATTTAGTCCTGGGAGAGCGATAAGAGCAGTCGCCCAGAATGTGAAAGAGCGTGAGTTCGAGTCTCATCTCAGAATGACAGGGACATAATGAATTTTTTAAACATTTTTCTATAAGGATATTTTTCAGTATATCATTATGAATGCAAAATTTAGCAAATGTAATAATTAGAAAAAAAACGACTTTGTCGTAAGTTTAAATATTTGTAAATAAAATATATCTTTCGTCTGTTTGGGTAGACTAACTGTACATTAATGAAAAATACGTTCTTTACTAGCATAAAAGTAACAAGTGCTTGAAAGTTTCGTCAGTCCTGTTAGGTTCTAGGTAGCTCAGCGGTTAGAGCAGTCGCCCGGATTGCGAAAGATCGGATAGAAGGGTTTGAGTCCACGGATAAAGTAGATTTTTTTAAACATTTTACATTAAGAATAAATCCAGTCCTGTTAAATAAACCAATCTGCCAATGATCTTCGTAACTAGTTAGAGCAGATAAGGCAAATTCACATCATCTTCGATATTCGATGTTTACGTCTTGCACTGGACTCGCGATATGACAATTAGCAATTCTACTCGTAAGAATTTAGGCCTTATTCTATTTATCCTCGAAAGTAAATTAGAAATCGGAGGCAGTGCAAGAAACTGCTATTGAAGTCGGGCGGAGGTTTTCTGTACGTTATTAAATGACAGTCGCCCGTAAAGTTTTCAATCCTAAAAAAATCTTTTGAAAAAAGTTCTTTAAGTCATCAGTTCCTGACCATGCCAGAACAGTAAACTACTGCAGGCACATTCACGGCAGTACCAAGATTTCTCAATAAGAAGATTTTTATCTAAAGGAAAATAACACGGTTTTCAATTAACAAAATGAACCACCTATATTGCAAACCCAGCGAAGGTAAATATCTACCTAGAATTATTTATAAGCGGACCTCTGAGATTTACGACACCCTTCTAATTAATATTGGCCTGGGCACAACGAACAATCTGTTATTTTCGGAAACCAGAATTTTTCTCCTTTAACCTGGATTAGTATGGTATTTTTTTCTAATTATTATTCGTGAAATGCATATTCTAATTACGCTATATGTGACGAATTATTTTATGTGACCTGATAACTATTTGCGTAAATTGGTTAAGTGATGTTTATAGTATTTGTAGTAAGTAATTGTTTGAAGTAGATGAGGCTTTGAATGAATGAGATGAGGATTTGTTAACATATTATTAATTTTTACGACCTCAAATTTAATTGTATCCATAGACTTCGAACAACAATACAACTACAGTAAATATTTTTAATTCCTAAAATCAATTTGAATTCATTTATGTTAATAAATATTCATAATACTCCTTCTTTCATCATATTCCTGAGTGTATGAGTATGATGAATGTAAATAAATTAAACAGACAGATTAAAAAACATTGTCATCAGAAATAAAACAAAAATCAAAGATGCATTGAACATCTTAAAAATGAGACTCAAGTGGAAATGATCAGGGCACATGATGAGGGATTGCGAAAAATGGAGTAAACTAGTGACAAAGAGGCAGACCGTTGAAAAAGTGGCAGATGTGATGAGATATGAAGGCCTCCCGCCTTTGCCGATTAGAAGATGGATTTACAGAAAATCAACAAATAAATTATACCTACTAGATTAAGTTATAGTGTTAATAAATACTATAATTAAGCTTAAGCTTTGTTCCGATTAAAAGGCTATTATTATTACTAAATGTTAAGAAACGCAGCTTTTACTTAAATATATATTTGTTTATGTAAAGTAAGTGGGTAAATGCACACATTTGAGTAGATAAAGTACGCACACGCCAAACTTATAAACTTACCCCAGATTACCACAGATATTTAATAGTTTTGTATATACAAATCATAATAATAATATGGTCATAATCATCAATCAGGATATGCTGATTATTATTATAATACTTCAAGTGATTGCTAAATCTGGACCTGAAAAGCATTAGGTCGGATGTGCAGAACCAGCTAAAATCACTTATCGCCATAACGTTGCTACACTCTTTTTTCTCTTTCCGGCAAATTAACTCTTGTATGTTTGTGCCTTTTTACTCATGAGCAACAGTCATGCATAAAGTCGGATCAGACGACTTTTTCAAATATTTTGATTGCATTTAGCTATTTCTGTTTTTATACAGTTATGCCTAAGATTCCCGACATCCGACCTAATGCTTTTCAGGTCCAGAAATATTTTGTTTAGTTACATTTCCTTTATAATCAAATGTGAGATAAATATGAACCACTCTTTGATTGTATACCAACTCACATTCGGTTTTAAATTAAGCTGAAATATTCATATATACCTATATTACTTGGATTACATTGCAATATGCAATTTAGCTTATCTTAGGATACTATACGATACCGATACCTCTGTAAAAAAAATTAGGTTCGTTTGATATGTCTTTAGAAGGACAAGGTCGTTACCCTTTCTATCGGACAATATAAAATATTAACCTCAACAATGTTTCGCAGTCTTTCTTTTAACCGCGTCAGTGAACAGATTCAATAAAGCAATAGAGCAAACAATTAAAATCGCAATTCCCCACCGCTCAAATGTCGATGTTATGATACAACAAATAAGCAATGACGCAATCTCTTGTTTTAGAAACAAAGACAATTATGGGTTTTAAATTTATTGTGAAGTAAAAAAAAACGATATTTTGTAAAAAATACTTTTCCCTTTGTATATCTCTTTGTTATGTTAATACAGGGTTTTGTTTTTTGATTTGCGATTGTTTTATGTATATGAATTGTTTCTACCCGTATGGAAAATACGTCAAAGGATTATTATATATTTTTACTTAATAAAATTTGTTCAAGCGATTCACAAGCAAAATATTGCATAATACTCAAAATATTTATTACATTATAAACGGCTGGCATTTTTTTCATTCACATTATTAGGTAATTAAAAATACTAACAACAGTCTACGGTGTCTGAAACTATATACAAAAAAAAAATAAGTATGAGTTTTTTTTTAAATTCAATAATACATTAATTCAGTAAAAATCGTATTAATTGAATGTAAGATACAGAATGTAAGATAATACTGAATGTAAGCACCGCAATGATCAAGGTTCAGAATCACGAAGAGATAACGAACTTCGAAATAACATAACTTTATATAACAACCAAATAAATTAAAGGAATAGAATATACAAAATCAAAAACTTTGTCTTTAACAAATTTAATGTCCAAACGATCGGCAAATAGTGTCAGTAGCACTTCTTTGGATCCGGCAGAGAGCATTACGCAGTCCAGTGGGTACTCTCTCTCCTATCATAATGGTTGACCGCACACGAAGTATGGTGACCAGAAATTTCCATATTTTTTAAGGCTAAAAGAAACTATTTCTATATTTTTTTAAGCTAGATAAAGAATTCCATATTAATAATTTATGGATTTGTCAACATAAATCAAACAAAAAACGGAATGGACCGTGGTGGACCGTGGTTTTGAAGTCGGGAATTAATAATACGTCTACCCGACTTCAGTAGAATTTTATTGAATAGGTCACTTTTAAGATAAGTATAATGTATAATTCATTAAATTAACATGTTAGCAATTATTTCACATTTTTATAAGTAAATTATGGTTACCCTAACCTAGAGTATGGCTCAATGAATTCGTCTAGTTTAGAGTTCTATTCTTGAGAGCAGCTGAATGGCTTGGATAAGATTATATGAAACATTCACAGGCGAATTGTAAACATGAACAAGAGAATATGATGACATGCATGTTTTTGTTAAATTAATACAATTTATACACGGTATAAAATACAAAGTACACAAAAAGTAGCCTAATTGCTAAACAGCAATCTCTTTTAGGCAACTTATAGAGGAGTGTGGCAAAAGAAAAGAGAAATTATGAGGTTGGTTGGGCGCAAAGCTCAGAAGGATATGAGAAGAGGTATCTTTACATAATAATAAAAAAAATACCGTTTCACCACGATGACCACAATATGGTAATGGATTTTTTTTTACCAATGTGTGTGTGTTGGACAGATCTTATTTTCATCGGGTCTGTTAACCCGATGAAAACAGAATCTGTCCAACCTGGTAGGCCGACAAAAGGCGTGATCATGACATATTTCAACAATATTTACCTCCTTTACTTTTCAATGTAATTAAAGTAATATTTTTTTATATTAGACTTTATGTTTCACGTTCACAAAAGTCATCGGGATCTAGCAGTCAAGCTTATCGCATAAGTAAAACACTGAAAGTTTTTTATCCTATGTTACAGTATTCATTAAATTAACTTTGCTATAAACGTATGACATACTAGCTGTTGCCCGCGATTTTGTCCACGTGGTTATAAAGATATGCATAATGCTACTATTAAGTACTTTATGGAATCCCTATGCGAAATTTGATACACTTACACTTGCATGCACTTGTAGT